CAAATGGGAATGAAGAGCACATGTTTTGTTGTTGCAGGTTGATGAGAGACTGAAAAGTTGGTGTTGTTGATTTTGTCGGCACGAGATGGTGATCGAACCGATGAGGAATGGGTATGGAGGTGCCGACGAGAGCAATGGTGGCGTGGTTTAGGGTTTGAAGATGTGCGGATTGTTGAGGTCTAGGCTGTTCTGAGGATTGGGTTGCTAGGCTATGGGACTTGGTTACTGGTTATGGAGATTATGAGATGGTACACATGGCGGGGACGACGGTTGTAGCGATGGCGGTTGTGGCTAATTCGCTCGGCGTTCAATTTGTGTCGATGGGGGTAGAACAAAGAACATTTGTGACCCATTATTTGAAATTTTGATCAATAAATTGGTTAATTTGTGACAAATAAATTAACCTTGAGGGGTTGCTCAAGTGGTCAAGTATTGAGTTTGCTCCTCAATGGTTACCAGTTCGAGTCTACTCAGGGCTACTGAGGTGAGTACCCGACCGTAAACTTCAGGGCCCCGTGAGATTAGTCGAGGTGCGCGCAAATTGTCCGGACATCCACGGTTATCAAAAAAATTGTGACCAATAATTTGTGGTCAATAAATAATATGTAAATGTGAGATTGCCAATAATTTTGTAATCGTGACTCACAATTTTTTAAGTTTTGATCAATTAATTTGATAATTTGTAATCGAGAAATAACCATGACTAATTAATTTGATAATTTGTGATCGTAAAATAAGTTGTAACTTAAAAAATTTATGATTTGCAGCCGAGAAATAATACGTGATCTTTAATTTGATAATTTTTTACTTATGAATAAATTGTGACCTATAAAATTTGTGATTTGTGAGTAGGGATTACAAAAAACTCATTCAACCAGATACCATCGGAGCCTCGCCCCGAAAACGGCAAGGATTACCCGCCTAACTTGGTAAACAGGACGGGGCTGGGATCATTGCCCCCAAAGCAGGTACGAGAATGGCCGATCCGTTCCACACCCGCGCTGTTTTCATCCTTATTTGTGATCAAGAAATAATACGTGGTCAATTAATTTGATGTTATGTAACTAATAAATAAGTCGAGACTTGTGAATTTATGATTTGTGACTGATATTTTTTGACTGTTACTAGTAAGTAATTGTGATCATAAATGGTATAGTATTGTGACATTATTAAATTTAATTATGACCAGATTTTTGAACTTATATATTTGTTAATTTTGAAATTGTATCTTCTAATCACTTTAAATGTTTATTGTTCCTTTAAAATATGTGTATATTTTTTTCGAAAGCAAGATATTTTAAAATTAGAAAAATAAATAATTTTTTTCAATAATATGTTAAATAAAAAAATATAAACGTAATATAATTTTTTTAACTCTTTTTTCATAAATATTGTGTCATTTAACTTAACATAATAATAAAATTTTAAAATTAATAAACATATTAAATATATAATTATACATATATACACACCTATTACAAGAAAAAAAAAATTTTGTGTCCCTACAATGCTAATATCATGGGCCACCTCCGTTTGAGACCCATTTTTACAAAAGTGCATTTTTTTTCAAAATTCATTTCTAATCACAGGTTTTTCATTAAAATAATTTTATACATAAATCAAAAAAAATTCTTATTTTTTAAACACATATTCTCCAAAAATTTATTTTTCGAAAATACAAATTTTTTTTCCCGGCAAAATGGGGCTCAAACAAGGGCTATCGTCAATGAAGTGTTAGACATTTTTTACAAACAATTTATATTAGTTTTCGAGGCTTGTAACAAGGTTACATTAGCTAACACTAACGGTAACTTCTTGATTGACCAACCTATATATTCGTCATAAACAGTTTTCAATAATTTCGATATAAACAGATCTAAAAATATTAAGTTATTGTGATAACACAATACACACGAGTGCGGAAGATATCACCACCTTTCTATCAATAAATACATAGTACATTCACGTAACCAAACCCATTAAAAAACCTTAAATTTTTTTCCAATAAAAAAAAAAACTATATGTGAAATAAAAAATAAATAAAATTGAGAAAGCAAGAATTTATTTTTGAAAAAATGAAAGCAAATCAATGACCAAAAAATTCACATGTAACGCCATATCATGTATATTCTTCTTCTGTTTTGGAGTTGATTTACCACCATTATGGCCATTTTTCAAACTTATAGCACATTTAATGTTTATTTCCAACATCTTCTTAATCCATTTTCGCATAATGCTTTATATGCAAAAAACTTCAGTGGGAATAATTGATAAGGTTTGAGATTGAATAAAATCATTAATTGAATATTTCATAAAATTATAGGCAAAAAGAATAGGAGCATTTCAGAGGCTGTGGAGAGCACAAAATCAGAGTTTAATATGGATTGGATATATATTTTTCAATTTCTAGATTGGGATTACTATTTTGGGCCTAAATATTGTGCTAATGATCCCAAGATGCATGACTTTCGTAAACAAATATTACGGAGTTGTTCATGAAGAAGCATAACTTTATATATATAAAATATTATTTTAACGCTTATTAAGACTTAAAATTCTATAAGCAAAACTTTATATCTATTAAATGCTCAATGAACATAATATTATTGCTCCTGAAAAAAATAAAAATTTTAAATTGAGAATCATAACTTGAATGGAAAGAATTGGTATTCTCAATATTATTGCTCCTGAAAAAAATAAAAATTTTAAATTGAGAATCATAACTTGAATGGAAAGAATTGGTATTCTCAATATGAGTTGCAAAAAAGAAAAATAATGAAAAATAATAACAATGACAATGATTATTTCAAAGTAAAACCATTGTTAGTTGTTTACTACTAGAAAATAAAAACAATGAAACCAATAAATAAATATTTGCACAAATAGCATATGATATACGCCATCTCATTGATCATTGTACTTTTCACAATAATTTTTACTGAGCTTTGTACTTTTCACAACGTTTTAGACTAGTCATCCTCATTTTGTGACATGGCAAAAACTAATATTTAAAGATGTTACGTGTAAATATCTATTATCCACATCAACCATTCCGTCTATTTTTCGAAGGTTGACGATACAGTGACGGATGGTGTAATGATTTAATAAGTTCACTGCTAGTCACTGACATTTTATAGTTTAGTAGTCGATAGGAAATATTGTAAAAAGTATAATGATCATTGGTGCATTTAACTCTCGAAGTGGGTTTATGATTGAATTGGTATTGTTTGTTTTTCTTGTGAGTGAATGCACACTTGTGTCCATCGTATTGCTACTACATAAGCATTCGTCGAATTATTTCTTGTTTGGATTGTTAACTATTTCTCTTGCTTCCTTATTTTTATATCTCATATTCTAGAATTATAAAATTGAAAAGCACCATGGGAGAGATGGAGAAGGTTAGGCACCAATGATGCTAGGAAGAGGAGTCGGAGGCAATGGACAAAGGTGGAATCATCGATGATAGTTGATAGAGGTGGTTAGTGGTAGTCATGACGCACAGAAGAAAATGAATTGGTTTTTTGTCTTAGGGAAAAGCTAATTGTACAACATTGCTTGATAACAATGGTTGACAATCACGTGTTAGTCAAAATTTTAGTATGTGATGTAGAAAACAGTTTTTTAAAATAGATGGATATGATGAGGTCAAATAGAATGTTGTCAACCAATATTGTACATGTAGCATGATTCGTTGTCCTATTGGGTGCTTTTGTATTATTTTTTATTTACTTTTTTGGTTTATTTTGGTTTTCCTTGTTTTTAATTATTTAAAGTGAAGGGTCAAGTTGTCTTTTCACGTGAAATTTAATAGTCAAATTGAATGGAATCTTTCAACATGGACGGAATTTGCAAATACCTTAAAGGTTAGAATGAAGTATGCTAAAAAAGGTCGATTGTAAATTTGTTACTTTTTGAAAAGGTTAGGGATGAAACAGCAAAAAAAATCCTAAAATTTAAGAAATGACTTAACCATCAATAATATTAAAATTGAAAATATATATTTAACTTTTTGGAGGAATAATTTGTTGGCAACTTATTAAAAAATAAAAATAAAAATATGAAGAATAAAATTTCAAATGTTCTTTCTTCATTGATTATCAGAAAATGAATCGTCGAGATCATTATAGCGTTACCTACAACATTGCCGTCGGTAATTATAAATGGGCATATGATGCCGTCAGTGATCACCGACTAAATTATGTAAATAATCACCCAAGGAATTAATATACGTTTGTAGTTTTTCATCGACTTCAATAATAGTTACGAGTTTTCATCGGTTTATCCACTTCTATAATAACTTATAAATTTTCTTCGATTCACCGACATAAAATGTTGGAATCAACAACGGAAACTTCTGTTAGTGATATTGCATTTGATCTATTATTACCCAAATAAGGGATACCAAAATGTCTTGCTTCCACCCCTTCCTATTTATTCCCTAGTTGTTGAATCAGGACAATTCTTATTTTCATTTTATTTTTTATTTTTATATTTAAATTATTAAAAAATAGTTTTAAAAATATGCCCTCCTCGTTATTCAAAATTTTTTCGTATTTTTCAACCACACATTCTCCATCAATTTACTATTTCAATATACATTCTTATGAAAAAAATTAGACTCAAACAAGCTCTTAAATGAGTAAATGGAAAAACAAGGGTGGGAAATAAGGACATTCAATTTCTAATCCAATTGCATCACGTCCTTTATATGCCTCCCAAAAATTCTCCGTCGACAAGCGAGAGGAATTGGGGGCTACTGCCTCACCCTGTTGCTATCCCATAGCCCAAATCAGTTGAGTCGCGTTGATCAATTAAAATATATTTCTTTAAAGTTTGCTTATTAGTTGCAATTAAACTTTTGAGCATAGCCAAACATGCCGTTAAGATTATTTCCACATAAGTTACCTCTCATTCACTTTTTGTTTTTTTTTTTGAAAGGTACCTCTCATTCAATTGAAAATCATCAAAACTATTTTCTTGCCCTGTGAGAAGAAACATCCATGGAAGAATCCAAATTTGCCCAACCCCCACCTCTGACCCTCCCTCCACAGAGCAGAAAGAGGCCTCTTGAACAAAACTTAGCCAACTTTAAGAATGCTCCTCATTGCAAGATGCTCGCTGTTCTTAGAGATCTTCGACCCCATTTCATGGAGGTGAAATTTTGAGGATTCTTTATTTTTTTTCCCCTAAGATATATGTTTTACTGGAGTCATCTAAGATTCTAATTTTAAAATTATTCCATGGGTTTCTTAAATTATTTGGAATTTGTGGAAGTTTTTTTCTGGTGCCCAAAAGGAAAGGATAATTGATCTTACTAAATGTCCAAAGAAACAAATTTGGATGAATTGATGAATTTCCCATCAAGATATATAATATATTAATTTCGTTTTATGGGTTCCACCTAATAATGTGCTATAGCTTAAATATGCAGGTATGGAAAATTTTCCTGCCTTTTTGTGTTGATTTCTTACAAATAGGGTTTCTCAATGTACTAGGATTCTAAATTTTATAAATTTTTTATTTTAAAAAATATGGGGAAAGAAAGTATGACTTTCTTGTGTTGCTTGAGTTTTTCTGTTCTCCCTATCACTATCATGGATACAAAAATGGCTTCTGCTTGCTTTTTTTGTGAAGAATGTGAATGGTTTCATCAACTTGTGTGTTTTCTTTATTTAATATTGAGGTTTCCTTTCAATTTATCAAGATCTTATCTATTTTTGTCGATTCAGTTGATTTACTTGAAGAAAGTGGACTGTTTTCTTGATTTGGGACAATTGACGAGATAAATTAATCATTTACGTATTTGAAAAGGCTCATATAACACAATATTAAAAACAAGATTCTACAAAACACAATTGATCAAAAAATAAAACTACAGAAATTAAAGAATGAACACAAGAGATTTATTTCAGCCTAAATCTCGGAGGTTCGGCGACCACTTCTAATGCCTACATCGCCGTTGAACATTCTATATGGATATTCGTTCGATTGCACTATATCATCCAAAAATGGCAAAAAAAGTTACAAATCGTTTCTTCCAACACAAGAGAGAAGTACAAGATATTTATCTATTCAACAATAACTGTAGATCTACAAAGAATCACTCAAGAAATTTCAACCCGTCTTCTGAAAACTACTACTATAAGAAACCCCTTATTCTTACCGTAATCACTCAGAGAATATACAGATTTTCGAGGCTAAAAGTACAATGATCTCAGTTTCATATGGTTCATCAAGAGAAATGAAAACTTACAAATCAAACCCTAATCGTAAGAAGAAAAAAGGGTAAAACTCTCTCTCAGAAAAACCCAGAAGAACATGAATCGATCAAATAATGGTATTGTGCGTGTATATATATATATCTCTCCATCAATAATGCCAAAATCAAGGGCTAGGATTTGGATACGTGTCGTCATCTCATAAAAACTTTTCAACTTATAAAAGCGTGTTTCAGCAAAATACGACTTTGGCCAGCACATCATAGATCACCGGTTCGAGCCTAAACAATATTGATAGATTATATCAACTGATTTGGCATGTGGAACTGTAATTCTCTGCCAATTTTATTGCTCCTTGTATGCATATCATTTTATGTAATGTAGTGCCTATGGTTGGAAGTGCCAATGATGGTCATTCAGTATATACTCTCCCATTTTTCCTTTTTTTTTTTTTGGAGTTTAATGGTCTTTAGTGATGTGTGTACATGTGTCTGTTTGTGTGCACTTCCTGAATGGTCGTGGTATAAGTTGAATTTACTCTGTGTTGGTCCACACCAGCAGTGTGTTGAGTTATGTGTCAAAATACAATTGCACTCTTAGGAGAAAGACGTTGATGGCGGTGTTTGTATCTGGAGGACAAATTGAATAACAGATTAGACGTAATAATCCTTTATATTGTGTTTTATAAACCCCTAAAGATGTGTTCTGTAAGAGATTGTGATTTTAATTCTGGACGAGAGTGCCTTTGAAGTTTGAACTTTTGGAGAAAAGGTTATGGGTGCCATAGCTCTCAATTGTTAATGGGAAGATATCGTTTACGAAATTGCTACCTGAGTGGAGGTTTATATGAGGTAATCTGCAATCCGAACCAGGTTGTGAATTTTGTTAGCCTCGCAAATTTTACGAATGTTTGGGCTGACGCTGTTATAAACTGGACAGCAAGGAATTGGTTTTCGTCAGTTTTCATTTGATTCTTTGGTTTGTTCATCAGTAATATTTTTTTGTTAATTGTTCATTATTCATAAAGCCAAAAGGTCATTGCATTGTTCATTTGCGAAAGCCAAACGGCACATATTTATATGGAAAGTGTTGTTTTATCCATAAACACGGCATGGATAAGTTTATTGCTGATAAATTGAACTGCACATGTTTTTGTCTAAGCGAGGTGCTTGTTATAGTACTCATTAAATTGGAATTTGTATTATTGAGGTTCTTCAAGTTCTTGCTTTTTTCTCTTGAAGGTTCTTAAGACCCCCGACTTTCGAAATTGCAAGGCAGCTGATAAAATTCGTCAAGGTCAGGTCTCTTCAAATCTTCAATTAATGTTCTTGACCTGATCAACTTGGGCATCACATTTCTTTTTGACTCTCCATGATATTTGTGGCTAGCATCTCAGTACCATATTTGTGGTTTTATGTATTTATTTTGTTTTATCGGGAAAATCACTTGGCCACCTATGGGTTGGAGTGATTAGGGGAACAGGGTCGACTAGAGATTTGATCTAGGAACTTACGAGTAATTGGCCCTGTACTCATTCACCTAGCTATATAATCATGATTATCGTATTCTATCCTTGGAAAGTAACATCTATCACTATGAAGTAACAAAAAAGCAGCTGTGCTCTATGTTTTTTATCTGCTTTTTCTTCCCATTGAACTGCTGCAAAATTTCTCATGACGGAGCAAGGTCCTCGTGACCATTTACCTTCTTGTGTACAATGTAGAAGAAAATACTCAGTGTGCAGATTAGATAGGGAAAATTTTACTCCATGTAACTGAAAGTATTCTAATGGCGTATAAACTCTGAATTTCAGGCATGAACGATATGATGGATCTATACAAAGAAATGATGGCCGAACCCATCAAACTAGAGAAGTGTAATAATGCGCCGGGCAACATTGAAGACGAACAGAAGCCCAAAGAGCATCAAAAACATGCAAAATTGTCGGAGAATTCAACACCAGACGAAATATTAAACAAGCCTTCAGATCATCAGGTCCAAGGGGCGTCACATATTGTTGGTGGTTCGGCATGTGGGTGGAATTTTATCACATTTCATGGAAGTGAAACCGTCTATTATGGTCGAACAAAAGAGTCATTCCGAGCTGCTAACCCTATCTGAACAAGACCGCTGCCCCCATTGTATCGGGTTGTATCAACTATAATGTGCTAATTTATATTTTTCCGATGAATTGTTCTGTTTTCTGTAACTGAATGATGATGGAATAGGCGTGTAACATGAACTAGAAAATTGCAAGATACAACGTTATTTTCTAATTGAAATGATGATGTCTGAAAGTTGAACAATTATTTTAGCCTTTGAAATTGAACTCCATCGATGACCTCCACAACCCCAAATAAAAAGAAAATTACAGTGGATGTTTCTTTGCAATTGGATCTGCCATTTTCAATTATGTAGTACTTAGGGTCCGTTTGATTGCAAGAATGAAATTTGGATGGAAAGAAAATGAATTTCAGGGAATTGAATTGTCTAGAACTTATTTTACTTGGAATTGTCAATTAAGTGTGTTTGATTGGTATAATTTTTCACCTGAAAAATATTGAAATTTTGGATCTTTTGGTGTTCGTTTGATTTTATTTTTCATGAAAATTGTTCATTAAATAGATAAAATTTGTTATAATTGGGAATAAAATTTGTTTTCATTGCAAAAAAAAAAAAAAAATTTGCTTAGTAAACCTTTTCCCACCAAGGGTGAAAGATGGAAAACTAATTTCATGGAAAATTTGGATAATCAAAGATGCAAAAATGTGAAAAATGGAATTTAATTTTCATCTTCCATGGAATTGAAGTGCAATCAAATAGAGTCTTACGGTTTAATTAAGAACACGCGATATGAATACCAACATTTACAAAATCCAACGTCTACATATTGATGAAATTTCTATAATTCCACTTCCGAACTTTGTTATTTATTTTTGAAATATTAGAATACAATCATACAACGGGTCCATAGCTCAGTGGTAGAGCAATTGACTGCAGATCAATAGGTCACCGGTTCGAACCCGGTTGGGCCCTCATGATAATTGTTTTTTACTTCTGTTTTTCAGGTTTGAGTTTCAATTCGTTTACGTGAACAGTCCACACAATACATTACTGTGTACATATTTTAATGTCTCATTTTTCTCTAAACTTAGTCCAAGATTTGTAATTTTCTTAATAAAATATACGAGTAACAATTGAGTTACTTAACCGTAACTTGAATATTATAATGAGGTCAAAACTCAATTTGAATTATACAACTTTAAAAAGGAATAATTTTCTTTATGTAAATTGTAAACCATTAAATCTACATGGAATAATTCGGTGGACAAAAGTGCATATGATTTCTGGCACAAAGCAAAACTGGGGAAAATAGGATAATGCAAATTGAGAGAGAAGTAGAATTCTGTTTTACTTTGTGACAGTTTCCCAGTCACTATTGATATGTTTAAAATGTTTTTTTTCATTCTTTAATATTGCCGTACCATTGAATCCACCTAACGAGACACAAAATCCTATTAAGCTAGTAACTAAGAATTGGGCACAACGAGCATTTTGATCTCTCAATTTGCAACTCTAAACCGAATTTCCCATACATACAGATGAGATTCAATACATTTATCATCTTTCTACCAACAAATGAATAGCATCAAGAACTTCGCGAAATCATTGTCAATTGTACTCGTACGTTACAAAATCCTGTATGTCGCCGGACATATTCACTCGTCATATGAAGCTTTTCTCAACTGCCCAATAGCGATAATAAATAAGAAAAAGGACAAAAAGACTTCAGAGATTAGCTGCAAAAACATTAGAATCGGCGCATGTCTTTGGGTGGTTTGAAATGAACGGGATGAGTTTCCGGAGTAGCCGTTTCATCCTCTTTCCACATCTTGATAGTTTTGTCCGCCTCACAAGTAATAAGTCGAGAACCGGTTACATCATAGGTCATAGCATAGATACCAGCTTCACTATCGAGTGACCCTGAAATAGCAAAACCAAAACTTTCATCATTGCTGCTTTCAACGAGCAAAAGGAGAACCCAAATTACCCAATCTGTGGAAGAAACGTACCGGGCTGAACAATTGTTTGATCTTGTTGGAAATTGTGACCACTCCTCCAGTCCCAGAACCACATGCTTCCATTATCACCTTAAATAAATGAACGAGACGTTAAGGAGAAGGATTAAAAAGAATACCTCCACCTAAAAAAGACTAACGAAAAGAGGCCAAGGAGCAAGAAAACTGCATAATTATGCATTGACTTTCACCTCCTGTGGCCAATACACCCTCTTCATTGACTGCCATTGCATTAATGATTGTTTTCTGTTGAGAGCTGTAAAACACAAACATAAAGTCGACATGTCATCAGAAGAATGTAACAATACTCTTGCTCAAGCATACAGACCAACGATTTAGAAGCATAGCTTAAAACATATTGCATATATGCAATATAAAGAGGGTGTATGCGAAAGAAATTGCATCTGTAAAATAATGAGCATCTCTAGCCAATTTAAGCATAATGTCCAGTGGCAAATTCATAAAATTTATGGCAAGCATCAAATTGCAACACAACGAAATAACTAAGTGGTAAAGTTTGCTGCAGCCAACTTGGTTCACAAGTTTCCATGTGACCTAAGTACGGAGATCATGTCAATACTACGAGTTACCTTTTGTATTAAGCAATGAAAATATAAAGCTCAACCTATTAAGACAAACAAAGAAAAGTCCATCTCTTTAGCTGTGCATCTTGTGAATGACGTCAGACAAAATCTTGCCATTCCATTGTTCTGGAGACATACATTTACATGAATCATATAGGGGATACACAAGTCTTCTTCAGTGTTACTGAAGAAAGGGTTAAGGACATTTGTTCCAATGTAACACTTCTATTTATAGCAATTTTGACCAAGAGTGGAAGGATTATTAAGGAGTAGAAACATGGTTGAAAGTTCGTGGATAATAAATAGCAAATTGAACATAAAATTGTTTGTGCATTCCAGAGTTCTCATGGAAAAGGTGAACATCTTATTGAATGATGGTCTTTACAAGTAGAAGACTGAAACAAGATTTATCATCCTTGAGATAAATTTATTTTACTTACATAGCCATCACTCCCCAAACCAAAATTCAACTTCGCTTAAGATGAACATAATCCCAGGTCATCAGACCATATAATACACACCAGTTTTCTAATCAACCCCTCCCATGGGCATGTTTTGTTATTTTCCTAAATCTGATCAATAACATGATTAAAATACCCATCATATGCAGTCTACTTTCACAATATCCCTTGCCTTCCTAGCATGAAGGAAATATAATTGAGCATCAAACAAATGAGTCATTAGGTATCCATCAAATTTATGAGTACATTGTATAGCATGTCAAGAAACTCACAGCATGTTGTGCATGAATTCTCCTCTAGGAAGGCTAAACTTTTTGATATTCTCAGCAGAAGCAGATGCAAAACAATCTCTGCAAAATAAAATCAATAAATTGATGAAGTTATGAGATCAGAGAAAAAGAAGTAGAAGTTCAAGAGGAAGATAGATCTTCACTGCAGAATTAAAAAGTAAATATGGAAGAAAGGGTTCTCATACTCCTTGGGATGAGGAGCCATTGCTCGCACAGATTTTTTATGGTGTGTGAGAGTTGCCATTGTTTTACCTGCCAGACATAAGCATTTGAAATTTTAGAGCTGAGAACATTAAAAATTTATAACGAAAGAATAGATAATTCTTCCAATTATGTTACCATATCTAAGGTCCCAGAACTTTATAGTTGTGTCGTGAGAACCTGTTATTACTTGTGGATCCTGCAAATCAAAGCTATTTCGTTAGGATTAATCACACTAGCTACTTTCCAGTTACCTCTCTACATAACATTCATAGTTTTTAAACTTCTTTAAGAACGATCAGTTCAAGTATTTGGTACTAAAGATGTCAATTTAATAAGTTTTTTTCAAATAAAGTGAAAAATTTTCTTTGCGACATCAATCATTTTTCCCAAACATCAATGATATACAGTGTGTTATCAAATGCCGTTTGCTTACCCAATAATGCCTGTGGTCATTAACATAAAACTTCATAAAAAAAGTTGATTTATAAAAAATGCAGCAAATGTTATGTGATGGAGGGAGCATAACATACCAACTCCTTGTTAACTTTTTATTTTTCCAGGAAAAAGGGACAATTATTCAAATAGTATTGATCATTCTCCATGCTACAAAATAATCACTCACCGTAGGTCGTGTGAAAACTGAACAAACAGTGTTATCATGCCCCGAAAGTGCATGAATTTGCATTTTGCTGCGAATATCCCACACCTGAAATTAGGGTTTAATCAAAATTAAGTAATTATTCTACACCTATCCATACGTGAAGAAATTATGATATTCAGTGCGAAATTCAAACAAAATATTATATGCATACCCTGCACACAGAATCTCGACCGCCTGTGAGCAAAATGTCAATGGTTGGATGAACAGCCAAACAGTAAACACCACTCAGATGACCATGATAAGACCGAATAACCTGAAAAGGGAAGAAAGCAATTAAGTGCATGCCCCACCAGAATCACATACCCTTAAATCGTTTATATTCTATCACTAACCTTATTCTGCTCCAGGTCCCAACATTTAACTTGTTTGTCGTCACCTGCAGAGAACATGTATGTATGCTTGCTGCTAATAGCCAGGCCTGTGGGAAAAAAATTAGTTCTTATTATTCTTCCATCGGCTTAGAAATTAAGGATTAGCCTGACAGTAGAAAGTAAACTACCTCTAATTTGCTCAATATGTCCAGTAAGAGTGAGTTTGAGCCGACCACTTGCTAAATCCCATATCTTGCCAGCATAACAGAGAAATCAATTGAAAGAAACAAAAAATTAAAGAAATAGAATGGAGTTTGGTGATGCTAAATAATTTTAAATATTCTGGGCATAGAAAAGGATTGGTTTTCTACAAAGAAGAGATATATTAGCTTAGAGCTTATCCAAGACTCTTTAAAAGTGATATGCTCTTCATTTTAAAGAGTCCAAGCTTGAGATTAGACTCCAAGAGACTATATTTTAAGTGTTTAGAATAGAGAGTGGGTTTGGCTAGTCAAAGTCATTCTCTATTCGTATTTTGTCGTGGTTGCATTTAATAAAATTGCAAGTTTAATACTCTACTACTTAAATCAAATTTATCTTTAATATTTTAGCTATTGTTGGAAAAAGTAAAATAAAGCGCCTGTTAAGAGTATATGATAATTTTACTCTTTAAACTTAAAAGATACTCTCTATTAAGACCAAGATGCTTTTAAAAATAAAGATGCTCTTACTTTGGAAAATAATTCACATAAACATGCTCAATAGATATTTGCTACATCATTTATATATCTAAGTTGAACAATCTTAGTGATGCATCTAATAATTAAATAGTTTATTTAAACAGAATAGATCTCTTTCCTCCAACAAATTCATGGAATTACTTCTATCTGCATTATAATGAATAAATGGTAGTAACTTCACATTCCTGAAGCTCAAGTATTGATCATTCACCTATTTAATTCAGGTTCTACAATCCAAATGTGCCATGGAACTTGCGAGCACACTCAGCTATTTCAAATAGCCAGATAATTATAGATTTATACTCTCTCCTTATACAAATTAAGCATCAACAGTAGCATTTATCAATCTTCTGGCCTAAAACTATTGACGTGAAAACGTAACTTAGTTAGCAAAGTCTCAGCAGGAAAAATCATTTGCAACTATTGCATTTATCTTAGGAAACTTCTGAGGACCATCCAAAAATTTATTCTAAATGCAATTAAGATTATAAATATACAACACATGCTTGAGAAGTGTTACATGAGCCACAACATCTTTGTCATTGTGGTAGGTGCTTTAAGATTTTGAGTCACTCACCTTGATTGTACGATCTGCAGATCCCGTACAAAACCAAGTATTACTTGGATCAACTGCAACAGACCGCACCCATCCCAAATGTCCACTGATGACCTACAGAGCTCAAAAGTCAAATTGTACACGACAAAAAGTTATCAGTGTATTTATCCAGATACATCATTAGCAGAAGAGCGGTCTTAGTTAAAGCACATGAAACTATGGTTATCAACCCTGCCCAATCCGGTCTTTGACCTGGCCAAAGCATTCGATCAATGGTTCAACATATAGGTGGTAGGACCATAAATCCAAATAAATATATTGTAATATAAAAATGATGCATAATATGACTGTTGTTTTAAAAATTAAAGCATGCCATACATTAAAAAGCATAGCATAAAGTAAAATAGAATAGTAATTGACGGATAAAGAAATGCTCAAGTTTCTCTCTTCAGTGATACAAATCAAATATATATTTTGAGTTGTTTTTCTTCTTTCATGCTTCCTTAGTTAGTTTATAGAGGTGTCTATATTATTACTCTCATCCGTCGCTCTAGTCATTTGTAATGAGATTTCAATCATTTATGGTTTCAGATTTGCCTTTAAATAATAGGTCATGATCATTTTTTAACTACCGTTGAATAAAATAATCCGTTGATATATATATTTTTCTTAACAAGTAAAATATAGTTTCATACTATCTCATTCCCTTTCCCTTTCCCTTTCCCTTTCCCTTTCCATTTATATATTATTTATCAAAATTTATCAGTATCGTTTGGAACACCCCTTTCCTTGCAACATGTGCATTATCAATAAAATTAAATATTAAGAACTTTTGTATCCCCTAGCATTATGTCATATTTCCACTCCCAGAACATATTACACATTAGTTTTCTTATTCAATCAACACACGCATTAGAATTTTCAAATGCTAATATTTGAACTCTTTGAATCATGTATACTATATTTATTTTTCTTATTCTTTTAACTATTTGATAAAATAAAAGTTTTAAATGGTTTATGACAGTTCATTAATATAATTAAAGATAATCCCAAATGGATTATTTATTTTCATGTGTCGTTGTAATTCTATAATAGAATTGCTCAAGAAGTTGAATATAATTTTAGTTTGTGATTTAATCAACAAGCCAGAAGTAACTGAAACAGAAGCTAGATAAATATGTTGCAGAAACTTAAATATAGGCTGAGAGGTTCATTACCCTGTAATTCTTCCAGGGAGCATGCCATACAGGACGAGGCCACTTGCTTGGGATTCTCTCCATGATGGCTGATGTTGAGAAGTTCCTGAGACATAAACAGATGTGTTGCTTTAAAGAAAAGTTAATCAACTTCTCCTCATAACTGATCATCCTCAAAACGTGAAAAATAGAAACGAAGAAGGAAGCAGGGAGTTGTAGTTTATGTACAGCATGGTGTTCACAGAAGTAACTAAACAAAATTTATCAACAAAATAGTGTCCGAAACAATTGCTAATTCAATTTGACAAGAAGCCCATAGAAGATCTGCCCTGACCCTCGAAGTTAAATAATTACAAGTTTACAACAACAACGTTATAACTAACTGGAAACTTGGAGCTAATGCCACAAACCCAGGAACTTGGGATTCTAAAGAAGTTACGGATTATTTTTAACATTATTAAACTATCAAGCTGCAGAGGAGCTGACCTTGGGTTCCAGTTATGAAACAAAGAAAAGAGAAATGTCAAACCTTTCAGATGAGCCCCGAGCTGGAACGACTGCTGTGCTTTTGCCTGGAAATCCATTGTCAGTTCTGCACCAAATAATTACGATAAATGAGCTTCAATGGCAAGAGCATATGAGGTAGATGATTATGCAAATCAAACTGTAAAGTCAGAGATGTTAATGGTGTATGCTTCAAAGATACAGCAGATCGTGTTTAAAATGTAAAAGTTCACATATCTTTCGTTTTCACATGGTATCTTAGAGTATGTTTGACAAGTGCTAAAACTCAAACCACTTTTTACCCACATTTTGTGGATACATAAATAGCCCACTTATCTACCGCTCATTTCTATCTCTATCTCTATATAAACACTTGCCAAACATATGCTTAGAAATAAATTCGTTTTACAATCTCATGTGATATTTAAGAAAGAGAGTGCAATGACAAAATTTTCACATAAAGGAAAAAAAAAGAGATACATACGAGCTACTTGATTGAATGGTAGGACCAACCACTATATCCTTATTGGGGACTCCCTTCTGTGGATCCATTGAACTTTCAGGGCCTGCACAGAGAATTCAAATTCAATGTCAACAAACTAGAAGCAAACAAATAGTTACAATCCAGAACACTAATATGCATATCATCCATTGAAGCAACAAATATTATATATTTTGTCATGGAGTTCATCTTCTTCAAGTAGACATTTGTTCAGTGTGTATAAACATAATTTCTTGAGATATCAATACTACCAACAGATTAAGAAGAATTTTGAATGTTAGCAAGGTTTTATTACCTGGGAGTGCAAGGGCATTGGAGAGAGCAGAAGCCTGCTGCGCTTTACCTTGTGCAGCTGCCTTAGCACTGGAAGAAGCAGTGTCTTTTACTCCTCTGTACTCAGTATTGAGCTTCACAATCAACATGAAACCTCTTCATTACAGAGAAATAACATAAAATTAACACGAAGTTACAATTATAAAATAGTAATTCGATCGCTTCAACAACCCACGGCATAAAAACCTACATGTTTTTACCATGGCTCACTTCACATATCTTCCAATTTCTATACGTTTTATGCAGATTGTTTTCTTTTTATATGTATTTATGCAATTTATTATACCCTTGTCCCCTGAAAATTGCAAAAGAAGAATAGAATTGCAAGAAACATTAATATAATATTAACTAGCATAAAGTACTAAAACCTAATTCTCAGAAATCAAAAAAGAAGAATATCTATACAATAGATATTCAATATGCTTGAACAACCCACAGTTTAAAACCATATATTTATTCTTGTCTGGGTCAATTCCTATATCTTCTCATTTCTTTACAATTTATGCAGCTTGATTAACTTTTCTAATATTTTTGCAATTTATAATACCATTGATCCCCGAAAAAGCATGAAACACAAACATACTGTACTAAAAGCCTGATTCCCTCGGTTTGTATAGTATAAACACAGATGTGTGCACTTATTCACAAGAACTAACCTTATGGCTCATCCGAATTTTCTTGCTGCAAACCAAATAAGCAATGATAGAATTAGAGAAAGGGGAAGTGATTAAATATTATTGACAATCGAATTGAAACTTATACAAAATTACATCCATATGCTATAACTCAAATACAAGAACACTATTTAAAACATGTTGATATGAGGGTTTTTGGTATTCCAAGTAACGTTTCTGGCAGCAAAACCATAAAAGGAAAGGCAAAAAGTAGAGAAAAGGGAAGATCTTGGAAATTAAGTAATATTAAAGATCAAATCGAACCCATATGATATAAGTCAAATACAAGAAGACTATTCAGATCATGTTGATACAAGGGCTTTAGGTATTCCAAGTAACTTGTCTGGCTGTAAAGGAAAGGCAAAAATTAATGAAAATAGAAGAGCTTGAGGCATAATATAATATTGCCGATTAAATGAAATTAAGCAAAATTACATCCTTATGATATAACTGAAATACAAGAAACTATATAGAACATGTTGATATTAGGGTTTTGGGTATTTCATAAGCTTTCTTGGTGCAAATCAGTAAAGGAAGGACAAAATTAGAGAAAGGAAGTGCTTGAGGCATATTGACGATCGAATTGAAAATCAAGCAGTATTATATATGCTTATGCAATAACTAAAATTGAAGAACACTATTTAGGGCATCTAGATATAACCTTTCAGAATCCGGTGGAGGAAAGTGGCCATGAAGAGGCGAGAAGAGATCGAGGGCGCGCTTTAGGGATTTGAAGCTCAGCTTCTTCAGAGATTGCGGCTCCACTGCTAGTTCAGCCTCCATAGTTGCAACTGGAAACCTCTTCAGTGAGTGCAGTTGTTTCTATATGGATTAATACAAGGGATGCCGCCGGGAGGGGGGTTCGGCCGGGAGGGGGATTAATCACTTCAACAACTGGGGTTTTATGTGTCCCGTCTCGTCAATGTCGGAGTGTCAATATTGAACCAATAAGTTTAGCTACCTTTTATCTATGAAAATTAAAATCAAGTTTTTAATATTAATAAAAATTATGGTAAAAATTAATTAAATATGTTATTAAAAATTGTGGATTCATGAAATGTGTAATTACATTAATTATTGACTTTGATTTTAATAAAAATCTCAAACATGAGCTATATATTCTCAAAAAAATTATTTTTTTAAAAATTTACATCAAAAACTTACTTAAAAATTCAATATTGGTCTATGTCTCAAGCATATTTTGGTAAATTTCTTTTTACCTTTTAAGTAAAAGATTTAATTTAGAGCTCATTGAGTCCCATTTTTCTATTAAAATGTATTTTAAAGTAGTATTTTGATAAAAAATGTATGGTTAAAAAATAAGAATTTTTTTTAAAATTTACGTGTAATATTATTTTATTAAAAAATGTATGGTTGAAAATGAGAGAGATTTATTTTGAGAATAATGAGGACCAAACAAGTGTGTGTTTGAGTCTATTTTTTGTTAAAATAAGTTTTTGTAATATCGATTTTTTAAGATGGTATAGTTAAAAAGTAGGAAAATTTTTAAATTTACGTTAAAAATAATTTTATTGACAAAATGTGTGGTTGAAAAAATAATTTTTTTTTATAGTGAAGCTCTAATAAGAACATACTTTCATCAGCCATTTTCTAAAAAAAGCAAATATTTTTTTAAATTCAGGAATTAAAAGAAGTTGAAGCTCATTGATTACAGAAAAATTTTTAAATCAATCAAATATCGACAATAATGCATTTGATTGTCAATATTTTCCATGAAAAATGTGTTTTTTTAATTCAAATTCTTACTTTTGTGCTGTTTGATTGATATTTTTTTCATTGAAAACATTTTCCTATTATCATATTTTCTTCAAAATCTAAGAAAATATTTTTTTAGGATGAGCATGATTTTATTTTTCAAGAATTCACTCTCTCTTATTTATCCACTCTCTCTCATTCGCCCACCAATGAAAAAGAACATGTATAATAATTTCTATGTTGAAAACTAAATCGGTGAAACACATTTAATTAATAATTTGCATACAAATAAGTTTTAGACAATTGAATTGTTTAGAATTTATTTTCTTTTCATGCAAATTTCGTAATCAAACGCACTCTAATTGATTTAAAATCAGGTTCTTGTTGATTCTACATGAATGCAAATTCATTTGATCAACAAAATTACACTGGATAAAAATTGGAGTAAATTCTTTTAATCAAATACAATGGCTATGCAAAGTTTAAATAGCAAGAGAATCTAGAAATTCCAAGACACTGATACCCGTTATTAAATAATTAAAGATTTAATTAAATAAACTAGAAAGCAAATAAAAAAATCAATAACTAATCATCTAATTAACCCTTCTAAATAATGTCCTAACATCCGCGCTTATTTATCTCAACAATGTACTTCGCTGTGATTTACAATTTGTTTGTTTCCCATTTTTATAGTAAGAATGCATTTTGAAATAGTAGATTGATGATTAAAAAATTAGAAAAAGTTTTGAATTTACTTGTAATATTATTTTATTGAAAAATGTGTTATTGAAAAGAAGAGAGAAAAAAATGTATTTTAAGAAAAATAGGTATCAAACAAGGGCTTGGTATCGAACAACTTTTCAATGCCACGAGGAGGTATATTCTTGTACTTCAAATATTTATTGTGATTGTATCTACAGTGTTACACCATATGAGTCTTTTTTTTTTTTTAGATCAATTTTACATTGTTGATTTTGGCTACCCAAACATGCTTGGATTTCTTGCCCCTTATCGAGGTCAAAGTTATCATCTGTGTGACTATGTTAGACGGGGAAGATTACGTGGGAAGTAAGAGTTATTCAACTATCGACACTACTCGTGTCGTAACATTATTGAACGTTGCATTGGAGTTTTAAAGGTAAGATTTTCTATTTTGAAATTGATCGCTAATTATCCTCTTAGTAGGTAAAGACAAATTTCTACTGCATGTTGCGTAATACACGAATTTATTTGCCAGGAGCACGTTTTAAACAGGTTGTTCGCTGAGTATTCAGAGGAGAATATGATGTTCCAAGATATACGGAAATAAATTTGATGGGATAAGAAGAGATACATTTTGATGGGATCAAGAATAAGAAGCGATCCATTTTGATGCTAGTCAAACAGTTCAAATGAGACAAGTTAGGGATCAAATTGCTACACACGTGTGGAATGACTACTCAAGACGTTGTACATGACTCCGTGAATTTATTTTGTATGTTGTTCAGTATCTGATTATTTTGTCATGACACATAAACTTCTAATCGTATCGATTGAACTGTTTTATCAAATGTAATTTAGGTTGTGTTTTTAATATCTGGGAAAAAAATATCTTAAGTTTCACCAATTTCAAAATTTATATGTTATTTAATACTATATTAACATTAAACCATTAAAATTTATTGAATAATCAGATATTTTGAATAAAATATTATTAAAAAAATTCTCAAAATTTTAAAGTAAACGCGTTTTCCATTTTCGTGTTTTCAGAAACAGTTTTTCAGAATGGCAAACAGAAGACATTTTCAGAAATTTCAAAACAGACACTCAAAACACAAAATACAAAACGAATTCAAAACACAAAACTGAAATATAAAGAGAACAGCCCCTAAATATTTCTCAGAACTTGAATAGTGAATCAAACCCATGTTTGAATTGAGAAAAAACTTAATAAAATACAATGTTGCAAGTCAATCGTATTTAATTATGCAATTATCAAAGAAGAATTTATATATATACGAAAAGTCAATTTTGATAATTTTTTTGTTTTGAAAATGATTGTTCAATTTAAATGGTGATCAAACAATTATTATCATAAATAAATATAACAAACCATACACAATTATTATCACAAATAAATACACCAAAATCAAGTCAATTCATTAAAATTCATATTAATCACATAATAGAAATGAATGAGAATATCTTCTATATATAAAAAGTGTCTATGAAACGGAAATTCTTGTTAGTTTTTCAGAATGGTAAAAAGAACACATTTTCAGAAATTTCAAAACATAAAACGAATTCAAAACTCAAAGCTGAAACACGAAGAGAACGGCCCCTTACTATTCAAAAACTTATTATTCCCAAAAAATTACTATAAAAAAGGAATTAATCTATCCAAACATCACATGTTCTGTCACAAGGCCTGAATCACTAACTTTTTTTTCCGTTTTTTTTTTAAAGAAATCTGAAATAGTGACTCTTAATTCTATATTAAAACTCGTGAGATGCACCTGAAATAGTTTAGATGACTATGTAATGACACTAATATAGAGAAAGCATTATCTATATTAGTATTAAAAACATCTAATATACTAAGATAAAAAAATAATACTGTAATGTGTAAAGAAATTGTGATCTATTCATTTCAAATTTTCAAAAGATGGATTTCATACACCGTCACACGTGAGTTAGAAGTTACAAATGTGTCATATTTTAAGAAAACAAAGATCCAATACAAATGGGATGTATGGAACTCAGCCCATTTTCAGTAGTTTCATAGGCAAAACTTATTGAGTCCTCATTTACTAATTTAGCCCCCGTTTGGCCCTCACTATCTAAAAAATTTATTCTTCTCTATTTTATTTTCAACCACACAACCTTTTATAAAATAATAGTACACGTAAATCGAAAAAAATCTTCTTTTTCAATCACACATTCTCCAAAAAAAGTACTATTCCAAAAATTATAATGACCACATAATAAGGGTCGTACGAGGGCTTATTGTCAAGCTTGTATCAACGATGAAAAGGTGATACTACTCATTGAAAAGAGGATGTACGTAATATATCACTTCAAAATCACACTCGATGACTATGAAGAACACAGAGATTAAACACACATTTCATATCATAGAGATACTTTGAGAGAGATTCAATTTGATCATGGACAAAGCAGCATCTAGCTATGAGAAAAGAAAAGGAAATACACATACTTAGAACCAATAGAAATAAACAAACAAAATCCAAATTAACTATTTTCAAAGGTGAATCAACGGATATATTATCAATCTTAATATGAAAAAAATAACTTCATTTAAGAAAACTGGATAATCAGAATTATATTTAGTATGATTTAACTCCAAATCATACATGTAGACAAATTATTATAAGTTGTTTATTCTCAAAATGTGTTTGTTAATGAATGTATATTGTTCGTCTATTTTAAGACATTTGATTCAATTTTTCCACGCTCCATGGGTATTTTATGAATCCTTCTTTACAAACTTTATTGTCCTGCATTTCAAATTGTATGTATCTTAGTGTACTTTATCTCATGATATAAAAACACAAATAAGTTTTGATGTATATACAATTAAGTCCCTATTTGACATTCATTAAATCAATTTTTTTTTTAAAATTTATTTTCAACCATATATTTAAACAAAAAAATATATTCCACGCAGACTCAAATTGTTTGATATAGAATGTGATAAATATATAACATTGTGGATATGAACAATGGCAACCTACAAATTTCCCCATTTAAAAGGATTAAATTCATTGGTAGCCACCAAACTTTGTACTTGGTGTCATCATGCTCATTCAATTTAATTTTGTTTTGTCATGGCCACTCAATTTTATATTTATTGTCACAATAGCCACCTAATTTGATTTTATTTCATCAAGGCCATCTAATTTCATATAACATTTCACTATGGCCACCAAATTTCATATAATTTTACCATGGCCACTCAACTTTTTTTTACAACTTTTATTAATTTTAACAAAGGAAACGGTAACTTTGCATTATATATAAAATAATTTTTTTATAAAAAAATTAAAATCAAAACTTATTTTAAAAAT